ATCGAGCTAGAGGAAAATGAAACTCAACATACATTGATATGCGTGGATGAAACTGGGTTTAACCTACCAAAAAACATACCAATCTGGCAAAAACCTTGTGGGTGAAAGAGCCACAGTGAATACTGCAGGCCAATGTGGTGGCAAAATCACTATGTGTGCAGCCATAGCTGAAAATGGTGTCCTTGCCCATATCCCAACCAGAGGGACCCTGCCCCAGGTGATACAAGGTATCAGGGAAGAAAGTAGGGTTGGGTCCATCTGGCCGCCGGCCTCTGGTGAGGTCACAGTGGTGGTTGGAAAGTGCACTGGCAGCTGTGGTGTGAGAAAGCAGTGGCGGCTGGGCACAGGTTCGATGTATGTGAGGAGCTGCAAGTACACCACCTGAGATGCCAGAGAGGTTGTGTGTATGTGAGGGACAGTGTGTTGAATCTTGGCATGAGAGTGAGGTGTCAGAAGAGACTCAGGTTGTAGTTTGTGTGCGAGACCCAGCCTGGTGGCGTCAGGTGAGGGTGCCTGTGGGTAGCGGCGGACCAGAAAGTCCCAGGGCGGCTCCTAGCTAGTGAGTGATCAGTGTGAGGCCTGGATAACCGCGGGCGAAGGACTCGTCGAGGGATCCCAAGCAGGACCGTGGCAGGTTTGTGACGGAGACTCTGGGCCTGGGAATCCGCGAGCAAAGGACCCAGAGTTCTCAGTGTATGCGACGCCATGTGGCCGGGCAAAACACAGTGTTTCAAAAAACTGTGTAATGTGCAAACTTAATGACAATTCTCATAAATTTCAGTAAGTTTCTATCAATATCTTAGCTGAATATTTCACGATATGCACTGTAAAAACACAGTACATTGATAATGCATCAGATCATTTGTATACATTTAATGAGAGAGGGGATAATTATGTCTTTAATCCTGGAAATTCCACATATTCTGGGATGTCTAAATCTAACAGTAAACTAATGGAGGGCTTTTTATCAGTGTTTAAACTAATTTGCAATGACACATCAGATTTTATTTAAATGTACTTCACACAGGGCACACATACCATAAAGTATTGAAATACCAGTCACAACCATTACATGGTATTACTTAGAAGGGTTGTGTTTTTTGTTTGTCCATCCATCCCCTTTTTCTTAATAGCTTCATGCACACTCAGTCCAGCACTAATTGAACTCATCAGACTGAACATAACAGACACCAGCCAAATGGGTTTAGCGAGCCAGATACATCCACGGGCCAAATTTCAACACCAGTTTTAGATGTTTAACTTAGAACGGTCTTTTCTGACAAATGTAATTAGAAGATGCCAGTCCAAGAAAGAGCGTAATTCTAAAAGTCTGTCAAAAACGTAATCACTCTTGAATATTTACCCTATGAAGTCAATCCAGTGTAACCAATCGAATGGGAAATCACAGGCACATTTTACGTCAATTCTTAACATGCTGTTTGAAAACAAATCTTTAATATTTGAAATACTCCAACTTAACATTTTTGATAAATTAAAACAGTAATCACTGCTTTTAAAGAGCTTCAGAAAACAAATCTCTGACGTGATGGCTGTTTAAATTCCCAAAGGACTGATATGAAGTTCATTAGTTCTGCACCCTTACAAACTGTTACAGATATACACATAATAAAATACTTCTCAACAAAATAAAAGTCATTTTCAATTTATATTTATATATTGTTTTAAATATCTTCAAAAATATGCCATATTGTAGTATGAGAACAGATGCGTTAAGCTGTAGTTGTTGTTTATCACTGTGTCAAAATGTAATAATTAATAATAATAATAATTGCTTACACTTATATAGCGCTTTTCTGGACACTCCACTCAAAGCACTTTACAGGTAATGGGGACTCCCCTCCACCACCACCAATGTGCAGCCCCACCTGGATGATGCGACGGCAGCCATAATGCGCCAGAACGCTCACCACACATCAGCTTTCAGTGGGGAGGAGAGCAGAGTAATGTGGCCAATTCATAGAGGGGGATTATTAAGAGGCCATGATTGGTAAGGGCCAATGGGAAATTTGGCCAGGACGCCGGGGTTACACCCCTACTCTTTTCGAGAAATGCCCTGGGATTTTTAATGAGCATAGAGAGTCAGGACCTCGGTTTTATGTCTCATCCAAAGGACGGTACCTGTTTACAGTCCCCGTCACTATACTGGGGCATTAGGACCCACGTGGACCGCAGGGTGAGCACCCCCTGCTGGCCCCACTAACACCTCTTCCAGCAGCAACCGTAGTTTTTCCCCCAGGAGGTCTCCCATCCAGGTACTGACCAGGCTCACACCTGCTTAGCTTCAGTAGGCTGCCAGTTGTGAGTTGCAGGGTGATATGCTGCTGGCAATTAAGACATTTTTGCAAATCAATACAAAAGTAACAAAAATTAAAAGAGAAATTTAAATGGTCTTAAGTAACTTCATCATTACATTTTACTAATGTTTTTTTCAAGACAACAAATTTTAAACAATTTCCACATCTGCAGCAATATAAGTGAAGTACTGTACCATGCTCAAGGAAACAAACAGCAGCTTTCTGACATCTGAACCCATACCGTGCCAGTTACAAGTCCTAAGCTCCAAGCAGTAATCCACAGTGCTACCTAAAAGTTGCGCTATAGTCTCGTGACTCAAATACAATTAGAAACTGTTATCTCACTGCACAAGAATGCTTAAGAAAAAGGCACAGCTAACATGAAGAATCTGTAAACAGACACATGGTCTATGCAGTGCTTAGGATGAGGTTCAATTCTTATTCTCAGCCTTAAATTACAGAAGTGTGTGTCAAGACTGATCACTCACTAGATTCTCAAAAATGTTCTTCTATATGACTATATGGAGAAAAATGTAATAATAAAGAATGTGGGACTAGGGTATATTATGGTTGAAGTTCACTACACCTTCAATATGTAGAAAAATAGTTTCGTCACATATCAGAACCCTCACACAAACCATATTTCCAACACTTACACCTCTAGGGGCTCAGCATACACTTTACACACAAACCTACTAGTACACAAGAAAACACAGAAAAATCTACAATCAAACCACAATAGTAGTTGTATCCCGAATGCAAGACAAGAAATGAAGCAACAGGAAGAACATGAACTACTCTTTATCAGTCGCTTTCAAAACCTCTATCTTAACTTTGAGCCTTTTATTTACACCTACCCCTGAGGCACAAACAATACAAGGCTGTGAAAAGTCAAATTCATCTACTGCTGGCCCACAAAGTACTAAAAATGAAGGCCACAATACAACCCACTGGACTTTTTTTTGGGCAAGTGGGAAGCTTTATCAATAATGACCTCTCAATGGTGGATAAGTGTAAATGAGAGGATTTAAATAGTGCCTTTAATCATACTTAGCTCCCAGCAAGAGATACACATATGCCTCATCATTTATTGAAGCCTAGCAGAATAGCAACCAATGGGCACAACGTTTGATTGAATCTATATTTAGATCATTTTATTTGCAGTGACAACACACAGTAAACCTGACTGAAAGAGAAGAGAAAAAATGACATCTGAGACCAAGTCAGAATAATGATGACTTAGGAATGACAGTTTTGAATATGCCTAGTTTAAAAATTACAGTGGAGTTCAATTTTTCTTTTTGTTACAACTCTCTTGCTTTGTACATTTTGTTTTGTGTCTTCTTCTATGCATATTAACTGTATTTTTTGTTCCTGAGACAAAAGGTTTTTCAGGGTTTTTGCATGCTGCTGGAGCAGCACCTTTTACAAAGCACAGCAGACTCTTTCTGCTAGGTTTCATAAACTGGACTGAAAGCTAATAAAAATTAGTATCAGATTCAGTCTGGACTTTAATATGACTCAGAAATACGTAAATAAAGCAGCCAAGAAAGATAATAGTAAATTTAGAATATAACTAAATTGGCATACTTTAACATAAGACTGTATTTCACATCTACCGGAATGCAGTACTGCACACACCTGAGATATGGCAACAGATTCAAAGACTGAAACTAATCAAATGAGATATTTTATATAGCTGATAATCCAGTAAGTAAAATAAACTTATGAGTTGAATCAATGAGATACACTTCACAGGTCAGGAAGAATGTTTTAACAGATCATTCATACACTTAATTGAGTTTTGCACACGCACTATATCACCTCATTTGGGGTGAGGTCAGGTGAATGTGGCCTTTTTAACTATGAATGGCAGGTTCCCGTAGATCATTCTGATGTACATCAGTGAGAGTGGTGCAGATGTGCAGAGAAATAGGCTGGCTTCTGGGCACAAATAAACAATTGATATGGTGGTCCAAGTCTGAAGGTCTCGGACAAAAAGGATTGTAATTTTTCCTGATGATAACTTTGTGAATTTGTTGCTGATCAGTGTGTCTTCTTGTGAGACTAGACTATTACAAAATATAAAGTGATATTAATTGCTTCTGCTGGCTGTCAGAGAGATTTGCCTTTTTATCCTCTGCTGTCATGAGTCCTAATGCAAGTACATCAACCAAAAACACCAGGAAACAACAGACACAAGAGATAGCCAGTTAATACGATGTGAACTTTAGCCTCAAGAAAACAAAAAGTCTGGTAAATCATCAGCAGATAGCAACCACAATGTAATGATCAGAATCGTATGCTTTTAACAGAGCTGTGCATAGACACCTACATAAATCCTTTAAGACTGCTGCCCACTGCATAATTCTGCCATAGGTGATGCATACTTGTGACACTCCTTTGGATATTTGGTTGAAAGAAAATGTTGAGCTTTTCTACATTTTAAACAAATTCAAAAAAAGAATAATTCCTGAGCTGTTAGCAGGTCTAGGTTAAGTAATTGTTCCTTCTTCATTTTCATCGAAAGATGTCAAAATCTGTACTGCCACATACTGCATTCTATACTGCTGTGAAATCTTTGAGGATTGTGCTTCAAGGTCATGACATCTCACAGCAATAGCTCCTCAAGTCTAAGGCAAACAATAATCGATTATCAAGATACTTGCCCTTACTCCCACTTACCCTTCCATTGCTTACAACAGCCATCTGACCAGGGAGCAGCTTAAGAACATCTTTGCAGAAAAGCTGTTGGGTTCTGATGAAATCCACGCCTATGGTGTTGTGTCTCTTTTCCAAACTGTCTTTATCCATTCCCTAAAGCAAAAGTAATGAATCATTTCAGCAGATTAAATGAATATCTATTGTCCTGGGTGGAGGTGATTTATTGTCCCTTTCTAAACATCCACTGGGACCGTGCTAAAGTTGTACTCGCATTGTCTGCAGCAAACAAAGTCAGATTGTTCTGCTACATGAAATATGCAGAGAGAGAATTACTTATTTATTGAAAATCTTTTGAATTTATTGAAGTCCCGAAACTGAACCAGCACTGCAGCAGTCAGGAATATTTCATAGGTGGATGGTGAAACTGTAACAATTGACAGCACAAAATCCAGTGGGATTACTCAGTGCTAATATTTAATGGAACTACTATTAACATTTTAATTATGTTGGATTTAATGTGTAAATGGCTCAACACCTTGATTCACTAAATGAGCTTTTCCACAAAGTCTGGTCTATTGTACTTCAAAGAACTGTTTTAATTTATGTGTGACAAAATACATACCTGGTACATTTTATAGTCAAATAGCAATACAACATAAATAAAATTAGCCTCAGTCTGTTTGCATAACCCATTGTGATTGTATATTTTTGTTTTCTGAAGCCAAATTCTATTAAAAACACTATGGGGCCTATTGTGAAGCAGATAAATCTTCAGCTATTACAAGTTATTTCAGTCCCCTAAAAATACACTTACGTTCTTTTCAACCACAAAAGTTTCATAAAACAAAAAGACACTTTCATCTGGATACATCACGTTAAAATGTTCCTGAAAATGTTCAGCAGTCTTAGGAGCAAACTAGGTTTACAAAATAAACAAGGAAACTGAGACACACCAGAGGGCATTTACCGAGATAATTAATGGTTAATTAGAATTTTTTAAATTACTGTGTAATCAAAATAATTTAATAAACTAGACATAGCAGAAATCCTTTGGGGATTAATAGAAGAGAAAATCAAAAACACAATGATGTGTTTTTCTCCCAAGACAATAATCTGAAGTACATATTTTTGATATTACAAAAAGAATACTTGTTCTGGAGATATAGGTCAATACTGAATTATGAAAGTCACAACTCTTTTCAATAGGTTCAAAGTTAATTTGTGTTACAAAAACCTGAAAAGCATCACTTTGAGGACAAATCAATTTACAGTGATGCCTATCAGTACATCCTCAAGATAAGCTCTTGAATCATAGCACAAGGCAGCCCATCCTTAATTTCTCTCAAAATAGTTTTGATTAATTTATCCTTCACTGTTCATTTAAAGTCCAAGAGCGGAGCTCTGTAGAAACTCTTCAAAATTCAAGCTCTGTTGTGGAATGACTTCAGTCCACCTTCTGTCAGGGGTTAATATGAAATGTCTGTCCCACATAGCTAATTGGAGGATTCATTCTTCAATCAAGGGCAACATTCTTTGCCTTCTTACGTCAATCATTTCCTCTAATAAACTCATATGAGAGAGACTGTACAGAGCACCTGTGGCATTCAGAAAAAAAAAGTGTAGCCTGGAAACTCTCATTCCATCACTACCGATGACCTTTATATGAAAAGTAAAAACAAACTTCAAAATGAGCAAAGCAATGGACAAAACCTTAAAAATGAGATAATACAAGGAATGTCTAGACAAGTCTTCTTTTAACCTTAAGTAGGAGAGGCACATAAACATTCCCATTGTAAAAACCTCATATGACCCCTAAACAATGGTTTTATATACAATAATGTTATGCACGTCCTTTATAAACTTAATGACCTTACAATGTCAAATGATTTTACATAAAAAGCTCTCAAGAATGATAAAGCAGGGCTCTTAAATATACCACATTAAGGTTTTACCAACCTGCAAAAAAAGGTCCTTTAGTTTAGTTCCTTGGGCAAGTAGCTGAATGTTTTCTTCTTTGATAAGCTTTGTTATAAATGGAAATGTTTCCTGTTGTTTCTGGGTGAGGAGTGTTGCCCAAATTGCTCTGGCAACCAGGCTGTTCTCTTCTGTTGGCTTCACAGTAGGGTTATTTATCACTCCGATACGAGTGTTTGGGCTGGATTTCTGAGGCAGGAAACAGAAATCAAAACACGTAAAATATTTCACAAACTTAAAACAAAAAAAACATCTCAAAATATTTTTATTCGCCGAGAGGATGTAGCTTAGAGTAAAACTGGATAATGTATAACTGATTTACAGCACAAACTCAAGCCTAATTTAGACATCTTTGGTGTTTTTTCTTGACTGTTGCAGCTTCAGTTTTTAATACTATTGATTATAGTCTTTAGAATAAAATAGTTTACCTTAGTTCTTACTAGCTATTTTGTTTTTTTTTTTCTTTTAAATGTTATTCCTTTATCTTAGTCAGAACTTTATTCCCATTCTAATGGATAACTTGCTTTGAGTAGATGCTTCAGGTACATGCATTGATATATTACAGTGTTGTCCTCCAGTGCAAAATGATACAGATCTGTGGACAAGTATATGAAAATAAAATGCCAGCTAATTTCAGCAACAGAGAGAAACAAGATGAGTGAAATGCTGAAACATGCAATATGATATGAGACCACAAATAATATTAGCAACCATTTATTCATCACTATATAACTGCTGAATAATCAGTGCTGAAATGTATCTACTTATTAAAAAAAAATCATTAAAAAAATTGGCTTTCATGGATTCTTTCAGAAACCACCATGAGGACCAGGTACATAGTGTGTTGTGAAAGGTATCAATTGGGAGCAAAGGGGACACACCCTCAGTCAACACATGACAGAAATATCCAAAGGCTTCAAAGAAAATATACTTTTCTGCTACAATGCTGATTCATCTTTATTTAAAGGCCACTGAAATGGCAGCAACAGTAATACCATTACGGATATGGCAAAATAAAGAAAGACCTCTAAGTGCTAAAAAATTAGAATGATATTAAATAAAACACAAAGAGAATTACATGTCAGTGCAATGGAACTATTTTGGATATACTTGTTATTTAACACACAAAGTTACTATCAAGGAGTGTGTTTTAACTGACAAGAAGGCTATGCTCCTCTTGTTCTAGACCTCATTGAGCAGTGCTGGACAGAAGGAGACTGGACTACTACCAAAAGTCATTTACAAATCTGAATCAATACTGCACTTCTATCAAAAATGCACCAAAAACAAACTATGCAGCTAGGTAATCATTCATGATACATAGTTAGCACTGAGTAATCAAACATATTAAAAGTAAAAATGACGAAGCATTAGAAACATAGCAGTTACAATAAACGTCTGTGTGCTGACAACCATTCATATTCAGCACACTTCTTGCTGGTCTGCCTCCTTCAAAATCCAGTGTAAGTGTTTTTGAGACATTAGACGGTGTTTCATACTGTACTTGTGAAGTGAAACATTTGAACGCACAGTTCTAATTCTTGCATGTTAACACTGCTCCAGACATGTTAGAAGACAGGACTGGGTGAGTGTTGCCCACAATGTGACAAACCCACATACTGTATCTGTCTCATAGAGCATGCACTGAAAAAAAAATCCAATTTTTATAATACTAGTTAAACCAAAATCATACGTTACTTCTTAATAGTTATTGGATGCATTTGCTGCAATACGTGAATAAACCAACTGGCATTTAATGGTAAATTTGTAATGTTATTTTCAATCATGATATGAATATGCTAATCCCCTTTTGGGCAAAATACTTTTGGAGAAGTTTTAATTTAAAAGGTTAACATTAACTTGCTTAATTTAAACTTGTTAAACTACAGTTTTAAACAAAACACGAGCACTTATCAATTTCAATTGTCTTCATTCTATTTTTAAACTAACACAGCTGAGATGCATTAAGATTTTAAATTTTGATATCAGAAAATGTAAGCAATTATCCTGCCTATCTGTTCTTCCAGCTACAATTTAAGGCAGCTTTGATAGCAATAATATTAGAATTTATGTAAGGAAAACAAACTGTACAGTTATCATCAGTTTTCTCTTAAAACACAGAGGTTCTCAAACATCTAGTTATACTAAGAATGAAATCACTCAGTCTCCATGTTGGTTGAAAAACAACAACAAAAAAATCTATAAAGAGTAAAAGAGGCTTTCGGGTCATTTTTTCAACACCACATTTAAACGTATTTCACTTGAAACTAGAACATACAGAATTCATAGAGTTCTGTATCAGCAAAAGCTGAAAAACTACCAAATCTACAAAACAAGTATGAACCATTACAATTGTGAATTTGGTGTTATTTATGCAGTCTGTAACATTTATAATTCTAAATATTGAATTCAAGGAGTGGCACAGCCCTCTAAACAGGTGGAGATTTCTAATGTACTGTAGTGTGAGGTTGTTGAGATTTGAAGCAGACATGATACAAGGCGGGCTAACCACAAAACAAAGGTAAACGCAGTACTGGGCATTTCTCTTTAGCTTTCAGGAAACTCTGTCATCAATGCTTGCGTCCTCTTTTAGCAGGGAAACATGAACAAGGGGAGCTGATAGTACCTCTGGTTAGTCTCAGCTCCCCTCTGGGACAGACACTCACCCCAGCCACAGTGTATCAATGTATTTCCCTAATTATCCAGGGGGAAAATGACCAGTATTAGATACAGTATATTAAAAATCCCATTAATTTGGCTTGTGGTGAAAATTCATTACAACACAAAACACAAATCGCATGGTCTTTCACAAATTGACCTTAAATGCTACATTATAATGGGGTAGTACTGTACTCATATTATATTGCCATGTAATCGTATGTGCTTCCTGTAAATAAATCATTGTTTCAGACTGTTATATTTGGAATAATGGTTCATCAGAGTCCATCAGAGGTCAAAAAGTAGTCCCCTCAGGTTCCTGTAAGCCCCACATTCAGTACATCTTTATTATACTGTATTTCTTATATTTCTTGTGTTGCTTCTCATGAGATTGACCAGCTAAGGTGACTTTATGCCTACTTTTTAGTTATTCATTCAAACAAAATATCAGTCATACATATTGTTTTGTTTCTTCTAGGAGTCATGCGATTTCCTACATCCTACAGTGGTGATATACTACGTGTACCTCTTTATACGAATGTTCTTTTTATGAAATTTCGATACTACGAAGCATGTGAAAATTGTTATCCCCATTTTGAATAACGGAAGCCAACTTCGGAACTATAAAGAAGTGATACGAAGGAAAATTTCCAAACCTCTGACAAATGTGTAGAATGAAGAGGAAGGTGTCATCTATTTCATATTGAGTGTATGCATCATACTCCACTAATTAGTATGGTTGAGAGCTAGCATGGAGCCTTTGGAGTGGCACGAGACACATATGTGATACAGATCACCATGTCTTGCCTCTAGTGTTGTTCGCTATTGTGCCTGTTCTTTTTGTGTAAGAAAACTGGTAGTTTAAGACTTTGTCATGGAACCTAACAGGGTTAACCGTTTACTACCAGTGACATATTTAGCCAATGTCCACCTGGAATTTACTCCGCCTTAAACATTTGTTATATCTCTGCAGCAAAACATAGCAGGAGCCTGGTTCAGGTCTTAAATTGAAGCTAACCCCCTTGGCTTTGAGTGTGAGTGAGAATTTCTTATATTTCTTAATGTGTCCACTCAGCAGACAAACATATGAAAAAAAAAAACAAAAAAACAGGTGGCGAACATGTTTTTTTGGTCTTCAGAGGTCAGATTTTTCAACTATATGCATGTCAAAGGCCTGGGAATATTTTGAAAACCTTGTTCTAGGTGACTACTAGCTTGGATAAAAATCTGGGACAAATTGATCAATTAGAAAAAATTCTACATCATGTTTTGTGAAGAATGGACCTGGAATGAAATTAATAAATTAATAAAAAATCATGAAAATATTGAAAATAAGAATAATAACCATTGCAATTGCTATAAAAACCTTTAGACACTGCTAGAGAGCCTTTATCTGCTGTTATCCAATGAAAAAAAACCTCAGAGTTGCCTTCTGGTGTGGGAAAAAAAGGAGCACTGATAAGAAACTGATAAAAAAAACTGATTGATTACCCCTTCTGAGTCAATGATTGACAGCTAAAAATGCAGCCTGAAGCTTCTAGAGGAAGTCTCACTCCCTAAGGGCTCTGAATGGCTGAAAATACAATGAATGACAGCAGTTTTTACCAATCAAATCGCATTATTTCTGCCGGTCGTTCTTCAAACATTTACTACGTAATCAATAACGTTTACTAGTCTCTAGCT